GCAGGGGTTGGTTTTGGTTTTTGTTTTTTTGTTAAACATACACTGAGATTATTACATCCACATGATGGAATGATTGGTATTCAAACTGCTATTCATAGCCTTACAATGTTAGGCATGAAAGACTTTTATTTTACAATAAAATTACAAGAGCTTCCTCCATCAATAGCTGTGGTCCTTGGACTATAAAGAAAGTAAAAAGTAACATGGAAACATTTTCTTTTCTGTGTAGTCTGAAACTACAAAAGAATCACTTAACTGCTGACCGATGTGCTCAAGGAATACCCACAAAAAACCCTGCACCATCCCCTCCTACAAATGGACATGTCTCCTTTTGATGAACTTGCAAATTTCCAACATACCTGACTAAAATATTTGCTTAGTTTCATGGGTATTACATGAAATTACATCACTGTGTTATGTTCAATCTCTTCAGTCACACAATTGGAGAAAATTTACATAGACAAGGCTAGAGAGATACTCAAAGACAAACTCATGCAGCTGTGGCAAGAGTAAGAGCATGTTTGGGTGCAGGTAATATAGACCATTCAGTGCAAGGAACCCAAAAGCAACAGTAAGAGAGGCTAAAATATATTTTATGTTACTTTTGATTGTTTATCTGTGAGTTTGTATGCCCATATTTATATATCTGCTGGCATACAGGTATGCAGGGGTATTCATTCATGTGTGTGGATATTTGTGGATAGGCTAGAGGACAACCTTGGTGTCGCTATTCAGGATACATTTGAACCTTTCTATGTGAGGCAGAGTTTTTCACTGGCCAAAATGAATCTTTGTCTCCATCAAACTGGTATTAGGAGTACACACCACAATACTACATCTGCCTTTTTATTTTTCACATGAGTTCTTGAGATAATATTCGAGTTCTCCTGGTTGCAGATTAAGCTCTTTACCTAAATATATTTTATGACTTAACACTTAGTAAATGTTATACCCTGAAAAACAGTTAATATAAATAAGTACATATACTCCATTGACTCCATAAAAAATCAGCTGAGTATGCTCATTTGCAATAGTTAGACAGTAGCTTTTCCCTTTCATCTGTGGTTTTCCACTGCCCTGTGTAATCTGAATGTATACAAACATTGGTGTCAGGACTAGAATCATAGGAATTCAAGCTATTGAAAACCCTTGATAATTATATTCAGTTTCTATCAAACAGGAAAGAAATCTATGATGAATTTTGCATTGAAAGGTTTCCTGAAAAGATTTTGGATTATTTGACTATTTTCAAGTCTCTAAAATTCATCCTGCAAAGACAGATATAGAGAGTGTTATAATCTATTATAGAAATGATTTGGTTTACCAAACTTGTCCTTATATTAAAAATATAATATACCTATTGAATACATATGAAGTTTTATGAAAAAATACATATTGAAAGTGAATAAAATACCTTCCACTCTATGTCTGCACCTGTAGCAGTCCTAAGGTGTCAACTCTTCACTCAATCCCTCCAAAACCCAGAGGAGGCTGGACTCCCAGGAGCTCTAACACACCCAAGAGTATAGGATGCTGAAGGAGCATGGTGGCAGCCAGAGGGACTGGTGTGACATGCTGATGCCAGGATAAAAAAAAAAATGATGCTGACCTGTGAACTTGCTAAGGGCCCTGACAATGGTGACTGGAAGCTGTATTGGACATATGTTCCCGACCCACCACTGCTTACCTATACCCCTGATGGTACAAGCTGCATTGCCTCAAGTTTTTAGACCTTGTGGAACAGAGAATCAAAAAGAGAAGTTATAATAACTCATGTACTATTCTTAAATGTGACCAGTTATTCAGACTCAATCATGAGCTGATCTAGAAATCAATCCAATATTGGAAATAACTGTTCATTTGGAAGTCTGGTCTTGACTTTTTCAGAGACATATATGGAAGTTAGCTGCTGTTCTCTATGATGTTATGTTAGCAAGAGATAAAATTGGGGCAGGATCTGGATTTCAAACAGGTGTTAGCACATGTGTTAAGGCTCTTTTAACTGTCAAGCTAAAGTTACTTCTGTTTCTTCTACAGTATTTTATGTAAGTTGCATTGATTATATGTCTTTTAATTGTGTTTGTGTTTTGAAATCTGACATGTCAGTTATGGAGGTCTATCAACCAGGTTTTGGTTTAGTGCTTTGAGTATCACAGAATCTTGGTATTCTAAAAATAGCCTGCAAGTACTTGAATAAATTAGTCAGGTTTTTAGCAGAAGCAAAAGGGTAGTGGGCTTGATTATTGCTGGTATAACAGCTTTAATTACATTAATTGTAAGCACCACTGCTTCTGCAATTGCTTTGACAGAACTTAAGACAGCTACTTTTGTTAATCATTTAGCAAAAAAATGTTACTAATGTGTTGATTATACAAGAGGATTTAGATAAGCATTTGGAAGAATGGATTGATGATCTTTATCCATTTCAAATTATTGGAAGGAGACTGAGAATTTAAGCGTAAGGAGCAATCTCGAGGGCCATGCCAAATACCATTGGATTCATGTTAGTTCTAAAATTATTATTATTATTTTTTTTTGCTTTTTCGAGACAGGGTTTCTCTCTGTAGCCCTGGATGTCCTGGAACTCACTGTAGACCAGGCTGGCCTCGAACTCAGAAATCCGCCTGCCTCTGCCTCCCAAGTGCTGGGATTAAAGGCGTGCACCACCACCGCCCTGCTAGTTCTAAAAATTAACAGTGGTAGTCACTATAATTAGGAAAGAGTTGAAAGACACTTGTAGTGTATTTGGCATAATTCTAACAGTTCTCTGGATGTTTTAACATTTCTTAGTGAGCTTATGAATCTCAAGAATGCTGAACTGCTGAGGGTTGATGTGGTAGATACTGCTGATAAAATTATACATGGACTGAGGTTAGTATTTCGATTTTGGTCAAGCTTCAAAAATGGCATATATAGCTTGATTAGGCTAGCTCTTTTGTCCTGGGAATACTTTCATTCCTGCCCATCATGTTAAAGCTTGTCTTTAACAACATCAACATGTTACCAGCCAAAGTTCATGGCTTGAAACTGAAAATACACCCCCAGACTGTTATTAAATTAACAGGCTGGCTAGCCAAGGACAGTAAGATTCTGTGCAGAGCCTTACCAACCTAAGACAGAAGTGCATTCCTCTTGATAATTCATATTTCATGATGAGTAAAGAAGGCTTTCTTGTCAGAACATCCTAAGGCAAGCTCAATCTTGTTAATGAAATGAAAAAGGGGGAAGGGTGGAGAGCCTTTGGGACTGCTCAGCAAGAATCTGACATGGGCCAAGGACAAGGAAATGGGATGCTTGGCAGAAATATGACATTGGCCAAGGACAAGGAAGTAGGCTTCAGGCAGGATCTGACCTTAGGCTAGAACTGAGAGGAAATTTCAGGCAGGAATCTCAATCTTAGGGAAGAACAAAGAAGTAATTTCAGGCAAGAATCTAAATATAGGGTAGAACAAAGAAGTAATTTCTGGCAGGAATCTAAATTTTAGGCTAGAACAAGGAAATAGACTTTAGACATGAAAATAAGTTTGGGCTAGGACAGAGAAGTTGGCTCAGATATTTTGGTCATCCTGATAAGCCACTAGAAACAGTGTTCATGGGAATGTTAATGAAATTTTGCTTATTGCCTTGCTTGCTCTTTGACTATTTATGTTTATTGTCTTGCTTGTTCCTTGATTATTTGTATCTATTGTATTGCTAGTCCCTCAACCTAGAACTGACTTTAATACTTGCATGTAATTCAAACAGTATAAAAGCAAAAAAGGGGGAGGGAGGATGGGATAGGGGTTTCCAGGCAGGCAAAATGGAGAAGGGGATAATGTCTGAAATGTAAGTATTTAAAATATCCAACAAAATATATAATATTTTACTATTATAACACAAATAATTTGTCAAAGAAAGAAAAAAGAAAATGAATAAATTATAAAAATACTATCTTCTCTTTTAAAGTTATTGTTACTGAAACAGAGAAAAACGTTATTTTTCCATTTTCATAAAAATTAATTGATCATTTTATTTTTGGGTGTTTGTGTGTATTTTTGTTAACATGCTGACTTACAATGTCTCACAGTAGAAAGTTGTGTGATCCATATTTCTTTAGTGTTCATGTGGCTTCATAATCATTATTTTACAGTCGTCAGCGATGGGGGTAGGGCTCTTTCAAAGAGATAAACCATGCATTTAAACCTATATACACACTATTGCTGATAAGAAAGAGATGGAGATTCAGCATGAATTCTGACTAGTTACAAATCTTTATTGGTGGGAGATAAGAAATTGGATGTGTGTGAGCATGCATGTGTGCATGTGTGTTTGTGGGGTATGTACATGTATGGGGGGATGTTACCTGGTTATGAATGCCAGAAGTTAATGGCCAAGTTGCTCTTCATTTACTCTCTACCTCATTCTTTGGAACAAATTCTCTACCTCAACCTGGAACTCACCAAATCTGGTAGATTACCAGCCCTGCTCTGGCTGTCTGTGCCTCCTCTGCCATGAGAATTACTGGCTACATTGCTTAGATTCTGGGTAACTGAACTTAGGTCTTCTTGTTTGCATGAAAATCATTTACTGGTTGAGTTATTTTCTCAGATCACAAAAACAAGCAAACAAACGAAAGACAAAAGAAGAAGAAGAAGAAGAAGAAGAAGAAGAAGAAGAAGAAGAAGAAGAAGATCCAGAATGCAAAGAAAATGGTTAATAGTAGTCATCCCTGCTTCCCATAGAGTGTCACAGCTTAAAGTGAGAGCTAAGAAATGACCATGCCTTAATAAAGAGTATAAGCTCTTAAACCTATGCATGGGTATTCTTGGAATGTACATATCCGGATGAAACAGAAACAAACACAAGAAATCATAACACACTTGACAGCTTCAGTGCTCAATTTTTTTCTGATAGACAGTGAAATTAGCTTGATGCTAAAAAACTGTACTGGTGGCTGGTGGTAGAGATAAAGTAAAATTCTGTAAACCACTGACATTAGACTCATAAATAAAGGCACTTACAGCTCATTTCAAGTCGGAGGAAGTCTTTAATGCCAAGATTTTCTAGGAAAACGCCAGATAAAGCAGTGGTTTTAAAAAAGAAGGAAATATCAGTGCTGAATTCCACATGGAAGGTAGGAAAGTGGAGGTAAGCAGCTTCAGTAGTAAACCAGACAGCATTCCAGAAGTGTCCTGTGAAGCAGAGAGTCCTTGAACATGACTCGTTTGTTTTCAATGGGGTATGTAATATCAATGGGCTTGTGGGTAATGTTCCAGACTAGGAAGACACTTAACAGAAAAGTGATAAGGGAAAAGGCAGGAGAGATGTTCACAGGAAGGGAGTTGGGGGCTGTACTCACGGTCACCATAGCAACGCAAGGGGCCAATTCTCCAAGCTGCTTCTGAGTTTGATTTGTTGGTATCACTGATAATTATCTGAGTTACAGGTAAGTGATCTTTGAAGGAAAGAAAACCAGTATCATTTGTCCTGAAAAACAAATTTAAAGGGGAAAAGGGTAAAATGTAGATTATCTAGACATTCTGTGCAAAGACCCCTCTTTTTAAAAGGGACTCACTTTGCATGCAGTCTGGTTAGATGTGGAAGGAGTAAAATAGAAGGTTTTTTATTTCCAGCCAGTGGGAATATTTGGAATACTAATTACATAGCCTATGGCCTGTATCCAAACACCACAGGCTTTTATATCTTCCCTAAATGTGTTTTCAGGAGCACAGGTAGTTTATAAAGATTGCAGTGCTGATCATGGCCAAGCGGATCCAAATGATCACTGCTGTGTTTATGTAGCATCAACTCACTCCAGTTTTCTATAAAAGAAGATCTACTATCTAAGGAACTAACTTGAAAACAGAAATCACAAATCCCTATCAAAACTCACTTAGAGGGCCCTGCTGTACCACCTGCCAATAGGTTTTAATCAGGTTTGAATGTTCCTTGTTACCTTTTAAATAGTCTTAAAATAAACCTATATAGTTAACTGGTTGTTTTTGCTTTGTTCTTTAAAAAAAATCTTGCTGGTTAAGGGCTCTGGTTTTATTCTTGTTAACTATGCTAATAAGAATTTTCCCAGCTATCCTTTGATAGTAAAACAAAAAGAATAGAGACAGCCCATATTTTCTCTTTTGTTTAAGCTTATTTTTGGAATCAAGGTAAAGATGGTACCACTTATTTGAGCATTAAATTTGGAAGTAAAAACCTGGTGGCATTTTGTTATGAAGAAAGCTCTGTCAGTTCAAATACTTGGTGTATGAGGAAGGAGACATGAATCTGGATATACTAAGCCTGGACACCATGATATCTTGTCTACATCAGCTTGATGCCCCTGAATCAGCATATTGACATGTATAATAAAACATACTAAGTATAAATAAACCTCTTCTAAATAACCTGGAAAACTTTATATTTGTGTTGAGGATGTAACTCACATTATCAGGAATAATATATTTTTTAATTTAACTTTTCAAAAATTGCTTTACTTTTTATTAAATTATTTTATTTATTTACATTCCAAAAGTTGCCTCCCTTCCTTGTCCCTCCTCCTCTAGTTCTTCACTTTCTACCTCCCCACCTCTGAGAAGGTGGTTCCTCATCCATCTATCCACCACCACCTTATTCTGACCAGCATCCCTCTTCCCTGGGGCATCAAGTTTTCACAGGATTAAACTCATCCTCTCCTACTGAGGCCATAATAGGCAGTCCTCTGCTACATATGTGCGGAGCGGGTTGGGGGGTGGACGATCCAGTGGATGTATGCTCCTTGGTTTTTGGCTTAGTCTCTGGGAGCTCTAAGGGGTCTAGGTTATTTGACACTGTTGTTCTTCCCATGGAGTTGCAATCCCCTTCAGCTCTGTCAGTCCTTTCTCTAACTCTTCCATATTGGTTCCTGATCTCAATCCAGTAGTTGGCTGTAAATATCTGCATTTGTCTTAGTTAGTTTGGAATATTATTTATCTATTAAAAATGAGGACACCATGAATTTTTCCAGTAAATGGATGGAACTAGAAAATAGTATTCTGAATAAGGTAACCCAGACACAAAAGGACATGCATAGTATGTACTCACTAATAAGCGGATATTAGCCAAAAAGTTCAGAATACTCATGATACAACTCATAGACCATAGGAAGCTTAGCAAGAAGGAAGGCCCATGTGTGGATACATGAAAACCACTTAGATGGGGAACAGAATAATCATGGAAGGAAGAGGGAAGGATGAAACTATGTGGGAAAGGGGAGGAAGGACAAGAAGAAAGGGGACAGGATCAGGATGGAGAGAGACAGTAGAGACACCCAGAGGTCCAGGAGAATGAACGGAAATACTCAGCAGTGGGGGTTAGGGGGGATGGGGAATCTCTAGAAAGTCCCAGAGACCTGGGATGTGAGGGGCTACCAGGACTCACTGGGGATGACATTAGCTGAAATTCCCAAGAGTCGGGAGATGAAACATGAAGAGACCACCTCCAATATATAGACATTGCCCCAGTTGTGGAGTGGGGCCACCTATCCATCTTCAAAAATTTTAACCTGGAATTGTTCCTGTCTAAAGGAAATGCAGGGACAAAAATGGAGCAGAGACTGAAAGAAAGGCCACTCAATGTCTTTTTCAACTTGGCATTCATCCTGTGTGTGCACACCAAATCCTGACATTATTACTGAGGCTATATTGTACATATAGTACACAGACAGAAGCCTGGCACGGCTTTCCTCTAAGAGAAATAATTTTTATAAGAAAATTTGAAACAATAAAATCAATCAAGGGTACCTTCCCAGGGAACAATATTTTCCACAGTAAACTGGGTGTTCCAGCATCAATTAACAATTAAGACAATCCTGTATAAGGCTAACCTGATAAAACTCAACAGAAAAAGATGAAGACATGCATGCAAAGTGGGTAGCACATAATGAGATGAGCTCTAGCAAGAGACTGAAAAAATTGACAGACCAGAATTAAAAATTATAAAAATTCATTATATAAGTGCATGAAGCTATTAAACAAAAAATTAAAACTATTGCACATGGGATAGACACATGAGGATTCAAAGTGCTAGTGAGGTAAAACTTTCTTGTTTTTATTCCTATTAAATATCTTATAATAAAGGCATATTTCTTTTTAATAAACTTTAAAGCTACAAATTCAGCAAAATTACTAACTTTATATATCATTTAAAATATAGCAGATCAGGACTTAGAAGTACAATCAAGTTTGCAGAGCATATAAGGAACATGAGTATTCATCTTGTAGACTCAGATCTGAGTGTGAGCTACAAGTAGCAGTTAACCTTTGCTGTCATTCCTCAGGAGTGTTCCACTTTGTTTGTAGAGAATGCCTTCTCATGATCTAGAAGTTGCTGACTTGGCTAAGCTTCATAGTTCACTAGTCCTTGATGTCTTTGTAAGATATGGTGGATGACAAATATAGAGACACGTCAGTGTACACCATTGTATGTGTTTGTATGTGTGTGTGTGTGTGTAAGAGTTATAACTATATAGGTTCACCTGTGTTCAGAAATATGTGTGCACATGTAAGCAGAGGCCAAAATTAAACTTTGAGCTCTCCGTGTTGCCAGGTCTCATCACGTCTTCACTGGTACAACATTAGAATTACATGTGCGAATCATCATCCCTGCCTTATTTTACATGAGTTCTAGAGACTAGAATCAGGTCCCCATGCTTATTTACCTCGTACTTTACCAACTAAGTTATCTCTTCTCTCTCATTTCTGTTTCTTACAAATATTAGAAAGATGCTTCATAGAGCAGAAGTACATCATAAGTTATTCATATTTAGAGTATTAACTCTCTTGAGATGATGGCATAGCCACATCATTGAATCCATTTCCAGAAAGCCCTTTAATGCTATTATTGATAGAATGTTAAATAATTATATTTCTTTCACAAGTTTCCAAAATAATCATATAAAAATTAACTTTAAATTCAATTATTGGTTATAAGTGCCCCTTACTTTCTTTTTATACTTTCCTGTAATCTTTTGAGGGTACAAGCGACATGTCCTGAAAAGGCTGGCTGGCAAAACCCCAAGACCTACCTCTCTCCACCTGTCCAAAAAGGGGACCTACAAGTCTTTATATTATGCTGAAATGTCTTTTTTCTCTTTCTTTCTTTCTTTCTTTCTTTCTTTCTTTCTTTCTTTCTTTCT